AATACTATAGCTGGGATTGGAGTGCATCATTACCCAAACTGAAGTTTGTACAACATAACTATGCTTTTCCAAGCTTTCTAAAAGAAAATATTATGGTTTTAAAGACTGTCACTGAGTATTAACTGTGTAAAAGTATAATCAGTAAAGGAAGAAGCCACTCAAAAGACAGAAAATCACACACACACACACACACACACACACACACACACACACACACACATCTCAGGGTGGGAAGGATAGCTCAGCCTTAAGAGCATTACTTGTTGCTCTTACAAAGAACCCAGCAACCACATGAAGATTCACAACCATTGATTACTCCAGTTCCAGGGCCTAAGACTGAAATGAGGACTGAAATGTCCTCATAATATGACCAATGTATACAACTATAAGACTAAGTGCTAACATAGTCTGTGCCAAGGCTATGCTCTCAGGCATATAGCTCATTACTGGATGTGATATGCTACAGTATTACACATACCCTTTCTGTATAGACAGGTTTCCCAAGAAACTGCCAAGGAAACCAGTATATTAAATGTTAAACTTCACAGAAGTAAGCCAGATGCTTAAATGCGTAAGTGGCTAAAATTTTCTTTATATAACTGTTCTAATCAATTCACATTTTCGTGAAAATAATCTTGTATTACAAACAGCACAGCACCCTCTGGTGTATCCATTATAAGATATATAAAATTCCCACAAATAAAAGGATAAAATCATAAGTAAAAAATAAATCTTAGAGAATCAACAGGGTGGGTGATACTTTCTGAATTTATTCGGGTACATATATTTAACATGTTTAAACAAAAACAATTTTCATTTTTAAAATATCACTGTAAAATGTATAGCAATTGTCAGAAAATTTGTTTTGGTTTTAAAGTACTAAACCAACCAAAATAATACATTTTCAAATACATAACTTTAAATAAAATAATGCTATCAATAAAATTCTTGAAGTAGGGAATGGCAAAATGTTAGTGGTTATATAAGCTAAATTCATTTTACTCAAATCCACCTGTTTTGGATGTAGATAAATTTGACTTGAATATATAAACTGTTATATATTGTTTCTGAATTCAAAGTCAGTTTATCATTATCTATAAGGATGGAAAGATAGATGTTTTGGCAAATGAATCTACCAATTCCTACAGTTTGAAAACACAGTGATAGTCACAAATTAAAGCTAGTGAGTTCAGTTACAAACCTAGAGCACGTCAAAGACTGATAGTGTTCAACTTTTACATATAGAAAGAACCCTCTCCCTGTGAAAATAATTAACTAAAAGATGATATAACAAACTCAACATGATGCTACTTCCTTCGGACAGCCCTTTGTAACCCACTGCAAGTTCCAAAACAATGCAGGAAAAAGTGAGAGTAACACCTGTTTAAAACAGACATCTGTCTCTAACAAGTTAAATTTAGTCAAATCCACTTAATCTTGGTTTTCCAAAATAAGGGAACACTATGGACTACTTGTGAACTGAAAAGAATTTAAAATCTATTTTGTGATGACAACTGGTAATATATACCTAAAAATTTCAAGAGCTAAGGCAAATAAGTAAGATAAACTATTTTTAATGTAACTGCAAGTGAATAAAGGATATTTAGTGGCATGCTCACCAAAAACAAGTAGGCAAGCTTCATAATTTAAAACGACTAATTTCTCATTCTCATTTCTTGTAATATATTCTCATTATGAGGATCACAAAATCACACTGCTACTAGAGTATTTAGAAAAATAAAAATCTTCCAACATATAAGATACTATGATCCATCCTTATATGTGAGTGTGACCTGAAAATTTTTACTTTTCAGTTGTTTAAAAAAAAAAGTGTCACAATTAACTTATTTAGAGTTTTTGTTTGGGCAAGTTAAAGAATATCTCATTTATAAACTATAAACCTAGTGAGTACCTCCACAGAATACAAGATTATTTGAATATTGGATTTAAAATACAGCATTTTAGAAATTAAGCCTAAATACCTCATGCCAAACAAAGCAGTGTGAAATGATAGAAAGCTTCTAGAAATGAATTATTACACATAAATTTACTGTGCCTATTCCCTACACAATTTAATTGAATAGTATAATAGACAAGGTGTAATTCAAAAAGACTGAGACAGGCATCATGGCACACTCTGAATCACAAATATTCAGGTCCTCAAAATGTTACTGCTTAATATGTTTCATTTCAAAATATGATCACTTTCCCAGATTTGTTAGTCTACAAAGCTGAAAACTGAGGATGCCAATGCAGAGTATAGTCCCTCCTAGGAAAATATGGGGGAGGGGGGATGAACTAAATGGTATTTAACTTTGTATTTCATTTTAAAGATCAATTATTATAATTCTAAGTTAATCAATCCATAAAAATAATTTTATCTTATCAGAAGCCAAACTATCCCTAATATCAGCTCTTAGAACAAAGATTTGTTTCAAATGGACTAGCTATTTAATATAGTCCAATATTACATTCACTTTCAAATCAACTTGTGAACGGATATAAAAAAAAAGAAAAAAGAAAACCTGATACATGTTTGATGAGTGAAAAGTATCTGAAACATTCTTGAGCACTGCAAATAAAAATATTAAGCAAGGACATTTTAGCATATACAATCTATTCTGCCAAAACTTACATAAATGGCATAAGATCTAAAACTGTCCCAAGACAGAAAAACTCTACAAGTTCAGACCCAGTTGCTTCACCATCCAAAAATGTTCAGGCATTTGACACTCATACGAACAGCAGAGGGGGGTAAAAGGAAAAGGAAAAAAGAAAGGAAAGGAAAGGAAAACATACAAGTTAGCATTTGAGATGTGCATCGAAGACAGGCTGGGGAAGGAATGAATAACTATTGAGAGATCCAAACAGACTTCTTTCAGAATCAAATATCACCTTCATTTAAAATAACGGAAATGAATTAAAAGGCAAGTTTTTTTCAATCCCCAACTCTTATTTTACAAAATATTAGCCTTAATGGCATTATAATTACCCAACCTCTTCATTGACAATCTCAACAATAATTAATACTGTCACATTATTCACAGGCTTCTCTGTCACTTGAATCAATAAATGTTTGCTGTTAAAAAGATTAAATAAGCACTTTAAAATCTGAATTGGAAATTTCATATGTGCAACTATAGTTGTACATTGTTTGTTTTAGCTCACAGTCACTATCAATTTTTTGTTGTTGTTGATAACCTACTAATTGTTAGGCTGGAAATGAGCAAAATTAAAGGATCTGTAAAACCCGGTTAGCTCCAATCAAGAAGATACTACTTGAGAACTGTTAAGTATTCAAATCTACAGGGGGCAACTATTTTCTCCAAAGAAATACTTTAAAAGTATTTTCTTCTGAGCAGTTTAAATCACTGTCCAAAGAAAACCAGAAAGTCAACAAAAAGAATATGCTAAGTACACACATGCCTAGATCTTAACAGCCACAAAGAAAGTGAAATATACACACGTTTCAAGTTGAGAAGCTTCATACATTCTTTATGAACAACTTGACTTCAATTTCAACTCTCCAAGGGAAAGGAACAGAGATGAAGATGGGAGAAAAAAAAAACTCTCAAAGTATCATAACTGTCACAAATAGCGTTGTGAACTGAGTTCTCACAAAGCTTCCTTGTGTCCTTTTCCTGTTCATCACAGACAAAGTCTCAAAACCACAATGAAAATTGTTAACACTCTCCTGTGGGGAGGGAGGTGCATCAAAGTGAAACAGAACCTCAGGACTACCCCTCCCATCTCCACACGAAGGATAAAGCGCTGTCAGGAACCACCAACCCAAGTAGCACAGATGCCCTGCATCCGGTTTAAATCACAAGCGCGCGCACACACGCGCACACACACACACACACACACACACACACGCACACACATACAGAAAAGGAGGGGGAACCAGGAGAGAGACAGAAAGAGACAGAGAGAGACAGAGGAGACAGAAAGAAGGAAGAGGGAAGAGAAGAGAAAAGAGAGACTTAAAAAAAATCTCTCAGAGCAGCAGAGGCCCCTGGTTTCAATGTGTGTGCAAAGGGGGGAAGGGGGAGGGAAGACTGCTGAATGGATATTAAGACTGTTTGCTGCACAAAGAAAAATACAGTTTTTAAAGAAAAAAGGAATCCCGTGAGGCCAGTGATGGTCAAATAAGTACAGCCCGTTTCGCGGCAGGCAAAGAGGGGCCAAAACGAAGGGAGCGGGCTACGGGAAAAGTTCACCGAGCTACGAGGATAAAAATAACAAAACCCCCAACAAGGCCCCGCAAGTGAACAACAACAGCAGCACAGCACCTTTCGGGGTCCCCCCTGCTCACTGCTGTCTATTTCGATTTGGACAGCAGCAACCACCAGGCAGCTTTGCGAAGCAGCGAATTAAAGAAAGAGAGGGAGAAAGCAAGCCTCTTCTCTCCACCTGCCCCTCCTCCGGAGTGTCCGCAGACCTGGGAGGGGGGACGCTCCGACACCCGCGACGGACAGCAGCGGCTCCCTAGCCTAGCCCGCTCGCTCGCTCGCCCCGCAGCCCCGGCTCCCGCTCCATCCCAGAGCGCCCAGGCCGGCCGGGCGGGCGGGCAGGCGCGCGGCGCCCACACCCCCGAGCCCGCCGCGCGCCGGTCCATTGTAAACAAGCCCCGGGGACCGAGCCCCTCGAGCGGCCGCAGCCGGTGTCAGGAGGGAGACCCCGCAACAGCCACGCTCTCTCGCACACACGAACACACGCACGGACACACACGATCCCACACACATGTAGAGACCGAAGAATATTCACCTTGGCTGTGGATTATTGTGGTGTTGTTGGTGGGTGATGGAGATGGTGGTGGTGGGGAGGAGGAGGAGGAAGAGGAGGAGGAGAGGAGTAGTTGTTGTTGATGGGTAACAGTCGCCAGGACTACGGTGACTATGGCGCTTGATTCACAAGGCAACGGTTGCTATAACTCACAAAAGAGAGAGAGAGGGAGCGAGAGAGGGAGCGAGGGAGAGGGAGACACTCGCACGGGGAGGGGCTGGGGAGGGAGGAGGGGAGGGGGCGGGACCGAGCGCGCCGGAAGAAGCGGGTTCGGCGCCGTGACTGACAGCTCGGAGCCCGGGCGGGGGCCGCGGTCGGGATTCCGACGTTGGTTCCCCGCGGTGCGCTTAGACTTGGCGGGCCCGGGGTCAGTGCGAGTCAGGCTGGAGGAACGCCACTGCGGACGCCGGGAAGCCGGGGGAGCTGAGGGTCTAGAGGCCAGGGCTACTTTCCGTGGAACGAGCCCCGCCTGCCTCTGCAGCCCGCTCTGTGCCCAGAAGCCCCGCAGCCCCGAGAGGGAAACCGCGAAGCCAGGGAGGGGGAGTGACGACGGCCCCAACACTGCGAGACGCGCGCGACTGCGGGGGCAGACCCCACTTTGAAGAGTGGACTCCGCCCCTGGGTAACGTCATTTCCGGGGCTGGCCCGGAGAAGGGCCCGGATGTGCTGCGCTCCGCCCCCTCATCCCCCACTCCCAGACTTCCCCCCCTCCCCTCTCCATGATCGCCGGTGGTGGTGGTGGTCCCCGGTCGTTTGCGCCTCGCGGTGATCTCTTTTCCCAGACTCTGTGCAACCGGCGCTGGCCTCCAGAGTCTCTGCCGTGCTCTCCCCTCCGCCGTCCGCGCGCTCGCCCCCTTGCTCCTCCAGAGGCCGCAGCTCCGTGAGCGCGGGCGGCGGGGCGTGAGCGGTGCCTTCGCCGCCATCTTAGGGAGTGAGAACCGTGCCCGGTCCGGCTCGGCGCGGCGGGGCCTTTCCTGTGGAACCGAGAGGCAAAGTTATCACCCTGCAGGACCGGGAGCAAGTGCCAATGGGAAGGCGATTTGTGCCTCCCAGGGACGAGGGTCCATACTGGGCTGGGCTTCCAGGGAGACCCTTGCATGGTCCTGAAGATGCTCAACACCCTCCCCCACTCCTCCCGAGAGTTGACGGGCTGCGTTTGAGCTAGACCCAGGACCCTATTGCTGGTATCCGGTTTCCTAACAGGCCAGGCTAGCTACGGGTCTTGAGCTGTTTCTGACCGTTTTTGAGACAGGAATGGCTTCCGTCCATGAAGAACATGATTAGCACACAACCTGGTACCTCAAACTCCGGTTGATAAGGCACAGCTTCTAATAGCTCATGGTTCAAGCATATTCGTCCAATTCTCACACTGGAGTCCAGCAGGCACGTGCCCCTGGGCTCGCCAATACCTCAAAGCTCCAACATTTGCAGCTAAGCAGCTTATCCAAGACAATAACATATTGGAAGTCGAGCCTTAAGAAGTCAGTTCTCTTGAGGCTTAATTTTTGCACCTGCAAATAAGGGATTTGGGCAGGCATGAGTTCACTGTTAAAATAAGACTGATCTCTTTTTCTGTGCCCCAGACATTGTGCTAAGTGTTTTACATATATTATCTCACTTAATCCTGACACCTGTTCTATCGGATACATAATATTCTCATTTTAGGGAAAACAAGCCGTCACTTTATCTTTCCTCTCCGTGCCATGAAATACCAGGTAAAGACACTCTAGAAACCGACTATTGGAATAATCAATGTAAGAGTAATACTGAAGGCTTTGATAATTATGTAATGATTTGTGGTCTTGATTGTAAGTGAAAGTAGTGAACAGTAAAAAACAAGCCCACTGTGGTGGTGGTGACTAACAGCAGTTAAAACTCCTCAAATTTAGGAAAGTCCTTTTGCAACCTTTACGGATCAACTCTCTGCTAGGATGTTGGTTAGGACTGCTGGGTGACAGACACTACAAGGCTCTGAACAGCTTTGCTGCCTCAGCCCTACTGTCTGTCTGTTAGTTTTGCCTGTTTGCCCATTCTCAGCTGTTGCTTCTTACTGCTGTCAGTGAGCAGAGTTTTATTATCCTCCCCACCCTTTTAATTTACTGCTTTTAATCTTCACGAAAGGAAACCACATAATGAAGCTTGTGCAAAACTGTCTCAAGGGTATAAATAGATACTTTGAGGCAGCGTCCTTTAGGAAAAGTGTGACCTTTGCGCTTAGAACATTGTCACATCAGTTTCAAGCAATTTACAGCCTTCTTTCTTCCCAGCTTCTCTACCGTCTTTTTATACTTTCAGAATGCATACTTTATTTACATGAATTGTTACAAACTTAGGATATTTTTTCCTTTTGTGATAATTAGAGGTATGTCTTCTAATTGTAGTAAGGTGAATATTTAATTTCAGTGTTACTTAGCTACTATGCTAGAATTCAAGACACATTGATAGATCATGTGTTTATATTGTTTATGCATATACATATATGTATATATATACATATATGTGTGTGTGCATATTAAGCAAATCCTTTTGCTTCTCAGTAGTTCTGACAGGAACTCTTCAGGTCATCTCTAAAGCTGTGTGATTGTATCTTCATATATATCATACATATATTTCAGAAATAACTTGTAAGGGAATCTTTGGAAAGACCCAGCAGAAGGTTTACAACTATTATTTTTATAAGGAAAAATATAATCTGAGCTCAAGAAAGGTATCTTACAGTCCTTGACAATTCAATAAACTATCAATACATTTTTTGCTGAATTCCAAAAATGAGGCAGATATAGTTCCTGTCTATACTAGTCAGAATTACTTTTTCGGTGAATTTCAATCGTTTCCTTTGAACTTTGTTTCCACTCTAGGGCTGTAGTGATTGGGAGAGACATAGCTGAACACAGTTGTGTCTAAAACACTTGTAAAAGGGCAGCTCTGTCTACAAACTGCTATAGCATATTCTTAAAGGTAAACTTCCTTTTGAACATCATCTGTTAGGATAAGTCCTCCTATGGACACCTATTGCATATTCAAGAACTACTAAAGAACTGCAATACTAATGCTTGAGAAAAAGAAAAATGTGTATGCAAAGATAAAATACTGATATGCCACGATGTTGCTTCCAAAAAAATTGTATAGGAAATTTTGAAAATGTATGCTGCAGCAGCTTACCATTAAGTTAGTATCAGATCCTTTCTAAAGCAGAAATCATACCTCTTTTTAAATCTTCCATTTGACTAGCTGTTCTCTTCAATTGAGACACACAATAGAATCCTGTTCCCAACTGTAAAATGAAGGTTTCCTTTCAGCTAGTGTTGACTAAGTGTGTGCAGTGTTCAAACTGCTAGTGAGTCTAGATTACTGAGTGACTTTTCTGGATCTGAAATTCTGTGAATAGGTGATCATTGTAGCGGTCAAAGTGATTCAAACACTGCACAGTGGCTTGTAGTCCTTCTCCAGAGCCAAGGCAAATAAAATCTGGATATCATGTCTCACTATCCTCTGGAGCACCCCCCCCCCCAGAGAAAGCATGCTTCAATTTAGAAAAAAGTGCAGTAAGTAACTGTTTTGGTCAATTCATCTTTCTAATTGTGTTTTCATTAAGTACTACAAATAGCAGATTATTCAGCCATTGTGAAGTCTGTCTATTCCTATATAAGTATGTCTTAAAATTAGACTTTCACCCCAGTGCATAATTGACAACAATTGCTCAAGACCAAAGTAAAATTTATATATGCATTCAGCTCTTCAATTAATTCAGAACATCAAGTACAGTATTTGCACCATTAAATCCAAATATCTGGAAACAGTCCAAATGTCAGATGTCTATCAGCTAAAGGAAGCATAAACAAATTGTGATACAGTCACACATTGTAATGCAACTGAACAGTTGAAAAGACTATTGACATACAAAACAACATGAATACACTCAGAATCATTATGTTCAACAAAAGAGGCAGAGTGCAGATGTGCAAATCCACTTACATGAAATTCAAGTACAAGGAAAACTGATGTTTCCCTTGATGGCAATGGCAACATAGTGGGACTTATTGATAGAGAAGTTGAGAATTCTAGGGTGACAAGAATGTCCCATACTCTCCAAGTTGTTTGCCACTAGCCATGTGCTATTAAAATTTAATTCTAAATTAATTTCATGAAAAATTCATACAGCTATATTTTAGGTTCTCAGTAACCACTTGTGACAGTGACAACTAAACTGGACAAGGTACACACAGCATTTGTATGTTTCTGGATTTCGACCAAAAGAGGGTGTTCCGTTTCTCTTTTAACATTATGTGCATATAAATGTTTATATTTGTCAAAATTGTGATTAATTTTGCCTACACCCAAATCCCCAAAATCGCTCATTAGTCAAATTTTTAATAGATTGCCAATTTGATTAGCCCACTTTTTCATTGTTTTTATTCAGTTCTGAGAAAGAATCAGAAAATTATGCCTGGCAATTTTTTCAAAGATGTAAGTATGTCATGAAGTAGATGATGGTGATTTGCTGTTCAAAGAAATAAATCCAGGCACTTTAAAACCCTCAGTACCCAGAGACAAAAAGAAAACACTTTGGAGAACTCAAAGTGCACTCTAGAATACTTCAAAGAAATTTTTCCTATTGCCCTCTTAGAACCTTGGTATATGGAAAGGTGATAAATACCATATAACCTTGTGAGGTAACAGCAGAACTTGAGGGACACTGGTACTCTGACCACATTGTAAAAGTCAAATAAGCTCTCTGATCACTTGTAAGACTTAAAGGACACCAGGAAAATGCCCCAGTGGGTAAAAGCACTTGCTGCCAATGCTGATGACTTAAGTTTGATCCCAGACCCCACATGGTAAAAAAAAAAAAAGGACCAGCTACCACAAATTGTCCTTAGATCGCCACACGCAGGCACTCATGTACACTGTCCCCCTCCACTGCAGTGCGCACACACACACACACACACACACACACACACACACTTGCCATGGGGTGATAGACCATGCTCTGAGAACTGTTTAAAGCTTCAATGAGTATTATAGTCCAAAAAAGATTAGGATCATGTTTTAAGGCCTGCTTCACTAACTGGAATCTAATTTAGGATGTCTTTGGCACAATATAATGATAAACTGCCATATTAAGTATACACAACTAAGGGTTGTTTACAAGTAGCCTTAGTAGATTTTTATAAACATCTAATAGTTGAATTGAAATTGCAACTGTTCATGGTAAGTAGTTTCAGATCTCTGACATTTTCAAAGGCTCTTGAGGTACATGTAAATCCTGTAGCATTTGAGATATAAATGACCCTGAAAGAATAAGGAAAAATTCAAATATAATACAATTTGCATTTACTGTTTTTCCTCCATTCCTCTGAGTGAGGATTAATTAGAAAGTCTGGAGATTCACTGAGATGGAATCATGAGGAACTCTGAGTACTAGTTTCACAAAGATCAGAAAAATAAATTATTTTCCAAGATGATTAGTGCATTTTGTTCAGTACTCTTGTTTGGCACTACAACCTTTGCCTCACTCTGAAATTATAAAATAAACTACAGACAGTTTGAATATGCTTTATAGGATTGCCCTATTTGTAGCTTCAAATGTGTGACATGGTAATTACAGACTTCTTGTTAAATGTTATATCATTCTTCACCCAGAAAAATAATACTTAATGAACACTAATTTGTGCCAAAGACTGGTAGAAGGAGAAATTTTGATGTGAATCATTCAGAAAAGATATATAAAATTGCATGACAAAGAATTTTTAATCAGGTTAAACATGCATATTTTGAGATTAAGTTTAAAATTCAAAATAATAAAGCTGCATGAAATGCTTGTGTCTTTTCCTGTAAGTCAACACTCCCTCAGAGACCCCCAAACTCACAGCATTGTTTTTCTAGAACACCAAAACTTCATCAGTTTCTAAGCATCCAGCTACAGAGGGGGAAAGCACTGGGTGATGCATGAATAAGTGGATCAAAAATGGAGCCTAATGTTTAGTGGGAGTTCTGCCTGCTGAAAGCAAACGAGAGAGCACTGAACAGAAGTATGAGTAATTTTATAAAAATATTTTAAGTTAGTCGTTTAATCAAAACATTACAACTTGTTAGCAACTCTTCAAAATTCCACACCTCTATATTTGGCAGTTGTATTTTGGAAAGAATATAATCATGGAATTTTATTGTATTGTAGACTTCAGAAACTATGATGCTTACCTGTCAGCAAGGGGTAAGGTAGGCTAGAGGTTGAACCACTTTAAGGAAGCTGAAAGGACACTAGCAAGTTTCCACAATCTTAATATTAAATAAAGGCTAATAAAGCAATATTATGAGAAATAGAGAAAATGTAATCACTGAGTAAAATCAGCTGAAATGGCTACTAAAGAGTTTTGATGTTTTTGAGACTTCTGGTTTAGTGGAGATGATTGACTTACATTGTTTTGTTTTTGCTGTGTTGTTGATACTACTATTGTTTCTGCTGCTTCTGTTTTCATTTGTGAAGGAGGATGGAAACAATGAGAAGAGCACATAGTAGTCATGGAGGTAACATTTGATTAAATTACAAATAAGGTTCTCTAGGAAGAGGAGAAAGACAAAATCTAGGAAAAAATGTTGATAATCGTTTAAATTACTGAGTAGAAAAAAATACTGGGCTACCTACCTAATATTATTGGTATTCTGCCGTGTGTGATGTGTTAGTTGCCATGACACAAATTCCAAACTCCATATGGGCACAAGGGGTAGGGAAAACGAGAGGGAGATGCAGAGGAACTGAAACTCAGTCTCCCTGTGCTAGCTTATCTACAATTTCATTCTCTTCCACTTCCTTCCTGACATCAATGGGCTATACCATGGCAAGTCTTCCCATGAATAGGTGCACTGGCACAGAATTTATTGTAAAAGAGAGAGTAAGGCCAGGACATTTATTAAGAAGTCAGTGGACTAAACATTTTACTGAAGTCCCTTTTTACTTTGCTTCTCTCTGAGTTAATGCATTATTATTTCACTTCCTCCGTACCCACACGTTGGTAAGCAGACTCTTTGAACTTAAACCCGCACCTCCTTATGTAGATGAATTTTTCTTTCAGCTGCCAGTTAACAAATAGTGACCCAGTGACTTATTAATTATAAAAGCTTGGCCTTAGCTTAGATTTTTCCCACTAGCTCTTATAACCTAAATTAACCTGCTTTTATTAATCTACATTTTACTATGTGGCTTTTTACCTTTCTTTTCGTTCTGTATCTCCTGGTGTCTCCTCTGTGCCAAGCTTCATCCCATTTCCTCTCTTTGGCTGGAAGCCCCACCTATTCTACCTGCCTATTTATTGGTCGATTGGTTTTTTATTGAACCAATCACGGTGACACATCTTTACACAGTAAAATAAAATGTCTCACAGCATTAACCCCTTCTGTCTTACTAAAATGGAAAGGTTTTAACTCTAACATAGTAAAACTATATACAATAAGAATTATTATGAGGTAAGAATTGCATTCACAATGTCCACTCCATTTGTATTTGGCATATTTGGAGAAAATACTCTTATATATCTTACCTTGATGATTTTTATACCTAAACCATTTGCTATGATAATTTGTATTACCATCCTAAAACTATTTTGTAGACCTCAAAACATTTTCTTAGACAATTTAAGTTTTTTTCTCTCAATATTATATACTTTATACTTCTTGTTTTTTTCTTCAAGGTAGGGTTTCTCTGTGTAGCTTTGTAGACTAGGCTGGTCTCAAACTCACAGAGATTCAGCTGCCTCTGCCTCCTGTGGGCTGGAATTAAAGGTGTATGCCACCACCACCCAGCTAACTTTGTATTTTTTTATGAGTTTTCTTTTTAATTTTGTAACAAGGAAAACTGACTATAACTATCTTGTCTTCAACTCCATTCAGAGACCTGAGAAGAATATAACATTACCTGAGTAAACAGGAAGTTCCAAACAAACAACTTCCAAAACTACTGAAACAACAGAGACAACTGGTGGCCTGGACAATCATCTAAGGTTTCTCTGCAATATTGGGCATCCATCCTCAGCCAATGGGCCGATAATATCTGATGAACTTTTCTGTGAAACAGGAATTTTGAAGGACCTCCTACATTGTCTTGGCAACATTCAGCAGTCACTTACTGATTGTGTCCCATTTGTCCAGTTTGGGCAGCATACTGCCAGCATTTTAGGGAAAGGCAATTTCTTGCCTAATGGCTAACTTTGCCACAACAAATGCAAATTCTGTATGGAAGTTCGTTGATGCCAATCATCCTTTTTTGAAGTGAGCTGGTACCTCCAGGACCAGACATGTCTCACTGTCATGAATAGACTTAGGTTATTAAAGCATCCTAAATATTCTGAAGATCTCTGAAGTATTTAAAGACAATCTGTCTGCCTAAAATATATCAGTTTAACTCTGAAAATATACCTAACATGACTAAAGTTTGATATTATAAATGACCAACTACTAACCTCTGTTTCTTAATCATATATTACATTTTTAAATTAGTTGCATAGATATATCTTAAAGTAGATATATACATATACACAGTAGAACATATACACAGTATAACAAAAATAACCTTAAATTTGTATCAATATACAAAATATCTCAAACGAACAGAAACAAATGTAGAGTAGATTCTAACGAAAATAACCTTAAATTTGTATCAGTATACAAAAATACCTTAAACAAGAGTAGGAATATATAGAGTATGTTCTAACAAAGATAAATCTTAAATTTGTATCAATATGCAAAAAACCATACCAATGTAAAATATTTGAGATTAATAGTCTATTTTAAAGTAGATTTAATAATCTACCCTTTTATTCTATTCTTTCCATATCCCTCTTTTTCTTTTGAGAAAGAGATCCTTGAATCCAACCTCCCTTGCTTAGTTTCCTCCTTTACCATGACCAGTAACAATCTGTAGCCAAACCCCCTAAACAATTACAATATTCATAACCCACCAAACAATCAAAAACCACCTACCCACCTCTTGAGAATCTGGGCATCGTGTTCTCTAGACTGTTTCCTGTTGTCTTGGGGCAACAGTACCTTTAGGGAACCCTAAGAAAACTGGGATAATGGTCAAGTCTTGGGAGAGCTAGTTGTAGTATTTTTGGTTTAGTCTCTGTGACAGGAAATTTTAAAGCTTATCTGTAGTCTTGACTGGACCATCTCAACTAGCAGATTTGAAGTTGTTCTGGGTGCAGAATTTTGAGGAAATTGCAACAGAGACATTGTGAGAGGCTGGATCACCAGAGCTTTGTGTCTTCTTTTTTTTTTTTTTTTTTTTTTCTTCTGAGACAGGGTTTCTCTGTATTGTTTTGGAGCCAGCCCTGGATCTCGCTCTGTAGACCAGGCTGGCCTTAAACTCACAGAGATCTGCCTGCCTCTGAAAACACAAACCTTTTTATTACTTTAATTTTAAATAGTTTGCTTCACATGTCAATCCCAGTTCCTTCTCCCTCTCCTCCTCCTGCACCCCCCACCATTCCCCCAGCCTCCCACCCTATCCCCACTTCTTCCACATAGGGGATATTCAGAGTCTGTCATTTCACTCAGGGCAGGCACTCCCCTAACACAAACTTTTAAAGGGAACATATATGTCTTTATTAACACAGGATCCAGATACCCTGTGTATTTCCCATCTTTACATGGCTTATTTTCTTAATATTACTTTGTTCTTTCTTTAAAGACTTTATTACTTTTAAAGTAGTTTTTTCTATGACTACACCCATTTTCTTTTCTTTCTTCAGCATTTAAGCATATTTTAAAACAAACTATACATTTTTAGAGATTTTCTGTGTCTGGACCTGGCTTTACTAAGTACCTGCACCAAGTGAGATCAATTTTAAACTGCCATGTCAGCCGCCTCCTCCACTTGTCTTAGCGCATGGTGCTGCTATTGGCAGCTGACTCCAGCCCGTAGGCAGCAGCCAGGAGCCACATCTCTGTATGCTATGGCCCCTGTCTGAGAGACTGCAGGACTATGAAACAGTGTCTAGCTCCTTGTTTGTGTGTTTGGAACTTTGTTGTTAAAGGTTTCTCATGTTCTATGTGGAAATATGTGCTCCCATTTTGGATGTCATATATAAAAGAATTTTTCTTTGGGCTAAAGACATCAATTCTAAAAGCTCAGCCTTAGCTTAGGTTTGTCCCACTAGCTCTTATATCTTATATTAACCTGCTTTTATTAATCTACATTTTACCACATGATTTTTACCTTTTTGTTTTGTTTTGTTTTTGAGTCAGGGTTTCTCTGCGGCTTTGGGGACTGTCCTGGAACTAGCTCTTGTAGAGCAGGCTGGTCTCGAACACACAGAGATCTGCCAGCCTCTGCCACCCGAGTGCTGGGATTTTTACCTTTCTTTTGTTCTGTACTTCCACTTGTTCTGCATCTTCTGGTGTCTCCTCTGAGCCAAGATTCATCCCCAATTCCTCTGTTTGCCTAGAAGCCCCATGTATTCTCCCTGCCTAATTATTGGCCATTCAGCTTTTTAGTAAACCAATCACAGTAACACATCTTTACATAGTGTAATCAAATATCTTGCAGCATCCTTACCCTGTGTCCAGAGTTCATCTATCAATGACCCTAATGGCATCCAGCAAGCTAACAGATTACTTATCACTCTAACAGGGTTGTCTTAACAAAACACTATACACTGGCAGGCTTAAATAGCAGAAATTTTTTCACAATTCTGGATACTAGATTCTGGAGGTCAAAGAATGACAGAGTTGTCTTCTTCAGCAACATCTCTCTTGGATTTATAGATGCCCATTATGCACTCCTGACTTCATGTGATATTTTCTCGGTGGGTCCATGGTCTAATAACAAATTCCTAAAAGGAGTCCAATCATAGTGAATTAGGGTTCTAATAAAGACCTCACTTTAACTGAATTACTTCTGTAATTACCTTGTCTCCCATACTAGTCACATTCTGGAGAACATATAAAGTAGGAGGAGGGGATACAATTCAGTCCATAATACTTTTCTTTACAAGTTGATGAAAGCACAGAATGAATTATAAATATCACCCCAAGATTAGGTGTGAACATAAGAAAAGGGTAGCATTGCACTTACACGAAACACAGCATGTTAAAAAAAAAAGAAGGGAAGACATTTAAAAGGAGCTCAGCTTTATAAATGCACAAATTCCAATCACAAAACCAAGTGGTGGAGAGATTGAAGTGGGTTCTATCTAAGCAACAGAACAAAAGAACTAACAGCAATGGATAATTCTGATAGGCACTACTTTACCTGTTTCTTTCCTATAAGAGAAGAGCAACCAGTATTTGAGGCATGCCCTGAAGATTTCCCTTTCCTTTAATGTAAAATGAAGTCTTATGACAAGTCTGATCAATGGTCTATGCTGAGAGACAATCATGGAGCAGCTTCCAGCAGATCCTTCTTTAAAAGTAGTTTGCTTATGTGCTTTACCCCTTCTTCCTTTCATTTCTACTCCCTTCTCCATCCTGTTGCTTCAAACAAGGGTACCACCAAGACCAGTGCATGAAATGGTGGAACTCGACACTAAGTTCCTAATTGTGAGGTCAATACACTTCATATGTTCATTGGTGAAAGAAATACCAAACATGCTAGCTTGCCCAAGCCTCAATTAATGTAACCATTGTTTTTTACTCTGCACTGTTTTCAATTTTTTTCTATCATTTGTTTTTGCTGTATCCTTGTAACAGCTCTATAGTATGTTAACCTTGCCATTCTTTCTATATATAAAAAAATTCTTCCCAGATGGCATGCCTCACACAAGTAGTAGTTCAGTGTTGAACCAGTTTCCCAGATCCCTAATCAGTCCCTTTAGCCACTAGTTGAAACCCTTCTCCATGTTTTACCACAGGAGCAGACAAAGCCTATCTGGAAAACAAGGTTATTTTTGAAAGGTACATGCTGAACAAGAGGATCACACTTGGATTTAAGACAGTGCCATGGTTATCAAGGAAAGAAAAACAAACTAAATGGGAAAACTCTAGTAAAAATACCTTTATTCCAGGGCCTTCATTTACCTTGCTTAAAATATAGCCTAAAATTTGCAAAAGTTTCATCTGTGCTTTAAATATCAACAACTTTCCTTTAAATCCTTAAAAAGATTTTCCTCCTAAGAGGCTCCTGTGAAGTTCTGTCAACCTGAAATGCATTTGCTCCCTAGTTATCTGGCCATGACCAACTGCGAAGGGCCAGTGTGTCTAAGATCTGTGCCCCAAAGGGGCTTCTCTTTGGCCATATTCTGCCAGAGTCCTTTTCAGAACCCCAGCTGTGATAATCTCTGGTGCAATCTGGGAACAAGTTCTGCACTTCATTGTTAGTTTCCTCCTGAGAAAGACTCAGCTCTCAGCCAGGAGTGGATCCTACACTGGCAGAATCTGCTCCTCTCCTGCTGTCAGCAGGGGAGCTTTAAGACAGTTGAGGCTTTCTTAACCCCTCTTAAAGAAACTACAGAAAAGGAGATTTTAAAGGACATCTTGATTTGCTTTTTTCATGTTTAGAGGGAAAGCCCCTCTCCCCTCCAAAAAACTGGACTAGTGAAAAGTTTCTATTTCCTTCCCATCTGATACATAGACAGATTTGAAAGGGCCATTGGATCCACTGAAAAAAATGTGTATGCATTAAAATCCCATACAGTAATAATATAATAAAGAAGGGATCAATTTATTCACGTGCAGTACAAGTTCTAAAGACAAAACACAGAAGGTAATAACTTACAATGTTTCTGCTGAGATTTAATTCTAGGCTATAAGCAAACCTGGCTATCTTGCACAGTTTGTAAGGATGGAGTTGTCAAAGTTAATCTATCCTTGTGCTTTTAATTCTGACTCCTTGCAACCATTTTTTTCAGTCAAAAAAGTATTATACAGTTCAAATGTATGTTTATTATTTGTATCATCAGGCCATCTTGAGATAGAAATAACTTCATATTCTCTTTCAAAACAGCCTGACTGAGGATGGTTCACAAACAGTGAACTCATCCATATTAAAACTATGCAATTCAGTGACTATTCACAATGTATTACAATCCTCTAATCACTACTCTTACCAGGACAGTTGACATTTCTCTCAATTATTGTCAAAGGCCCCCTTGTGGATTTCTACTTTAGTCTCTTTCACCTCACTCCCAGTGGGAGAAAACTTGTATCTATTCTTAATACATTTATTTCATTTCCTAGAGTGTGTTATATAATAAATGGAACACATTATTTAAAACTTTTTCTTTGGGTCTGGTTTATTTGATGGAACATTTTTCATATTGTTATCAATAATTGTAATATGTTGTTGAATAGTAGTATACTAAATGGATATACCACAATTTCTTTCCATGGTTTTGAGACAGACAAAACT